ACGATATAGGCCATGGTATCGGTCTGTTGTGCGATCTCTCACTGCCACCTCCATTTGTGCTAATTGCTAATGTTTATCGCATAACGGTGTTCAACCGCTGGTTCTGGACATCGATCGGTCACGTTCAAAAAATATAAAAATAAATTCAGAAACTTTTATTGCCAAAGACATGGTAACGCCGCTTACAAATACGTGCAACTTAACAATAACGTAACATAACGGCAGTGTGATTTTGAAATGAGTCTGAGACCCCGCCCCCTAGCCCTCGGCTAATGAAAGAATGTAACATAAAACGCGGAGCAGAAACTTTTTACAGATTTTATTTTGAGATTCATTTTGGTCAAGTTTATTTTTAGCCAAGGCTTGCTAACTCTGCTAACACGCTAAAACCACTCTTTTTCTTCTCTGTTCCAGCAGATGTGAATCTCGTGAGCGTCATTACTGCCACCTAGTGGGCCTATTCCCTGCTGGTAATTAAAACGTAATTTTTCAAAAACATTACTTTTTTTATCGCCAGCTCCGAGGCAGCTCTACTCTCTAGCTAACTCTGCTAACACGCTAAACCACTCTTTTTCTTCTCTGTTCCTGAACAGCAGACGTGAATCTCGTGAGCGTCGTTACTGCCACCTACTGGGCCTACTCCCCGCTGGTAATTAAAAGGTCATTTTTCACTTACTAAACTTGTTAAAAAGCATTACTTTTTTTCCGAGACAGCTCTACTCTCTGAGGGAGCGGGGGCTGGGGCCGGGGGCTGGGGGGTGTGCAGTCAGACTCTAATCCAGGCGCAGCGGAGGAGATTTAAAACACTCTGGTTTCATCTAATCTTCCAGCTCATACCTGGCCCAGCGGTGGACAAATAAAGAGTTTCTCCCAGCAATTTCCATGAAAGGCCTCTGTGTGCTACGAGGATTAGACATGTTGTCTGCTTTTTTCTCAGTTAGGCTGAAATAGTTTTAAATACAGTCCGCGGACACGTGGTATGTAGAATGAACAAGTCAAAAAAAAAAAAGAGTTTTGAGCATAAATTGAAGAATTAACATTTAAAAAAAATTAATAATAATAATATACAGAATTTAAAATAGAATGCTTTGTTTCTTTATTTTTTTATTTTAAATTTTTTTATTTATTTTTTGGGACGTAATTCATACAGCGGGACGACAGACAGCCTTAAGAGAAGAGAAGCCCCTCTGTGTCTTGACGTCATCACGGAACTGTCCGGGAAATTCACTTTGTAATACATTTCACATCATATTTGTTGATAGTAAAGTTGCTCCATCTAATGTGGGGGTCAACGCAGTGTCGCCACCCCCTCGCCCTCCTTTCAGAACTTCCGGGAATTATTATTAAACGCGAAGGTTATTGTATTCTGAACAGGCAGATCCTTGGGCAGCTCGCTGGTTGTAAACAGAGGTCCTTTCGCTCCACACCGTTTATAAATTGGCGCCGAAGCTGAAAAAGTGAGCTGTGTTTCGTCAGCAGTTTCTCCCTCCATGGTATTTAACGCCCGACTGTTTTTAACAATGTTTATTAAATTCACGGTGTTTTTCCCGCCTTTAAATCCTGATATTTTACATTATAAGGGCCGTTAAAGCGGTGTCATTGCGGGTACGAGCTAACGTGGTTTTAGCTTTTCATCCTGAATATGAAAAATGTAGTAGCGAACTAAAAGAGGATTTAGTCCTTTTTTTATTTTATAATTTTTAGTCAAATGTTAAATTCTCTGCTTAAACTTCACAGTTCTCCATTTCAGGATTTGTTTTACTAACAAGAAACATCCTGTTACGTCGAACGTTTCGAAGTTTTTTTATACATCACCGAATAAGCTGGAATTGATCAGTTAAAAAGAAATTAATTAAATTAAATTAAAAAATAGTCTCGATATTTTATATCAATGTTTGTGAAAATGTTTGTTCAGTTAACAGTGACCAAACTAACTGATTATTATATTATTTATATTTATTTTAAATATATTAAATTATTTATTTAAAATCAACCGACTACGAGCTGTTCGGTTTAAAAAAAGTCTGGAAAATTCTCTCAATATATAGCAATAAAATAATGATAATACTATCGACAACAGTGGCGAAGACCAAAGTTTTAGGTGAAGTCTGAGTAGAAATATTCTCACACCGGTCGCATTACTAGTACACGATACTGACTTTTCTGTTATATTCATTAAACGCAAATGAGTTTCTTAAGGTAAAGTTTGTAGAAAACACACACTGATTGGTTCGATTAAGAAGTACTCAGCACCCTGTCGGCGTCAGTACTGCTCTGAGATCAGATCGTCCGTCGTCATGCAGTACTTGTACCATCATAATCACTGTACAAACTGTTATTGTACTTATTGTTCCCCTCTGTTTTGAACTCTGTCGTGTAATACCTCTCTGTGATTACAGCAACACTACGTTGTCTTTGCTGTCTTCACACCCAAAAAGGTGAAGAGGTGTACGATGACATCTGAGCTGTCAGCTCCTTCTTGTGTTATTTTATCCTCTGGTGTCCAGGCCAATGACCTCATGGAGGAAATGGGTGAAAATGCAAACAGATAAGACCCCTGGTACCTGTTGACCACAACCAGAACTTCCTAAGACGGGAGCCTCTGACACGGCGCTCCATCAGTGTCCGCCCTCAGCGACGACCATGAGGCATTGAGCGTTTATCTGCTCTGGGCCCTGCTTAGCATTCACGCCGTTCACGCGAACAATGCCGCCTCTTCCCGCTCATTGGACCTGTGACTGACAGTGGGTGTTGGTGCGCTTGTGTCTGCCTTCAGTCTCTATCTGACACCCAATTGTTTATTCAGTCCAGATACCCCCTCCAAGACATAATAAAGGGGGCGTTTGTCTTCCTCGCCACTTCCTCCGCTGTTTATTTTACTGGACTTTTAGAATAGATCCCGGCTCTATTCTAGGACGGGAGGTTTGGGCTGGGTGGAGAGGGGGGCTTACGTTCCATTATTTGACCAGCCTGGTAATTAGACTGACTTCTTGGCGCTAAGTTACTAACGGGAGAAAATTAGCGGCGCTAATGGATGAACCTGTTGTGATAAAAATGAAACAAAAAAAAATCTGGAGAATATGTTTTGAGAGGTGGCGTGTTGGCCCAGAGGCAACATCTCTGTCGGTGGTGTGGAACCCCAGG